AGTAGGTTTCTCCTAATGGTCTATGGCAAATCAGATAAGTGAAAATTTGAGCTGTAAGACTTAGGCTATTTGTGCTCTCTGAATTAAAATATACATTATAATTAAAAGAATGTATAATATAAATATTATTTAAACACTTTTCTCAAAGCAGAAACCCTCCTTTTAAAATCTCTACCAAAAAAAATTCTAAACATTTTTATGATAATTATAATTATGAATGTATTTTTGACCACAGACTTAGCAGCATACCATTTTGTTTAAATGTGATGTCTCAGAGTGATTGACACCATATTCAGAAATGGAATTAGTTGGAAGACTGGGGAAGCAAATTTTCTATTCCTTTCAATTTAACACACGTTTATTAAAAATTTACTATGTGTCAGACTTTGTGTCAGGTGCCAGAAACAATAGAAAGGGAATATAATCTGATTATTTTCTCCTCAAAAGTTCAGAGACTAACCACGATAATAACAAAAATGTACTGAATGTATGCATAATGTTTGCACAGGCACCATCACTTTATATTCTTTATGTTAGTGCATCCGTATTACCACCTTTGATATAGGAGCTACATTATTCTAGCTTTAAGGAGGAAGAAATAGAAGCTTAAAGAAGTTCAATGTCTTTCCCTAGTTCACACATCTAGGAAGCTGCAGGTGACTTGAATGCAGATTTTCCCACTCCTAGTACACTCTTAAGTAGTTTTCATACCACCTCAAGTTTAGCATGGAAGAAAAGCCTTGAACAAATAAAAGTGTACGTGCTTTAGATAAGCACTATAGTAGAGGTGTGTACAGCGGGTAGGAGAGATTAATTCCACCTGAGGGAACTGGGACAGAACTCAGCGGAGGAGGTCATTCAGCTGACAAGGCAGGGAGAGGCACCAACATCACAAAGGCCTGATGCCAGGATCAGCAAATAACTTCACAAATGAAGTCGTGCGGTCCAGCCAAGACACCATGGATTATAGGAAATGAAGGAAGGCAAAAAGGCAATTTTTCTGTTCACTTTGATTCAATAAACAGTCTCTAGACATTTGCTATGGTCAGCATTGTGCCAGAGATAAAACAACAACAACAACAACAACTAGATGGAACCTGGACTCTTTCTCAGGAGTATCAGAAACTGAAGTCATGGGAAAATGCTGCTATTATTATTGTGAACCTGATTCTCCCACTTGGGTGCACAGTGGTTCTGGTCACAAACTTTTTATATGTCTGATATGACAATCATGAGCCACATGTGACTATTTAAATTTTATTTACTTAGAATTAAGTAGATTCAAAAATTTAATTCCTTCATATCACTAGCCACATCTTGAGTGTTCGGTATCCCCATGGGGTTAATAGTCACCATATTTATAGGTATGGAACCCATCATCTCAGGCAGTTCCTTTAGATGATAGTCCTTTAGAGAGTCTATCAAAAGCTAGAAACCTACTCAGAATTCTGTTTTCCTTTTCAGGGATTCTCAGACTCCCCTGGAGTTTATCCATGTGTTCTTATTTAAAAACTCTTACCTAAACTTTCATGGAGATTTTCTGACTCCTTAAAATCCACTAAAAAAAAAAAATCACGTACCTTAAACTTGAATCACTTTACCTGCCCCCCACCCCCTTTTCTTCTGTGTCACAAAATGTCTTTATTTGCTTTCTTAGTTCCTTGTCATTCCCATCCCTTAACACACAAATGAGAGAAAGGCTAGAACCTTTTCTGTCTCATTCACCATTATGTCCTCAGAGCCTCACACAATGTCTGCCAGTAGCAAGTTATAATGAAAGAACTGTCTCATATTTGTGTCATCAAAACAGATTGTGTTAATAAGTATGAATTAGCTATCAATTGGCTATCATTAAAATAGGGATTTTTCTAAGTTCTTTGGGAAACAGCTTGTCTTTTAGTGGTACTGGACTTATCAAACTTTGTTTTATATCAGAACTACCATCTAAGATAGCAGGACTGGGGGTTAATGGTCCCATTTTATGGAAGAAATTGGATCTGCAAAGGGTAGGCAATTGTTTAAGAACTCCATATAATAGTGGATATTGTTCTGGTCCAACCATTTTGGAATATGTTGGCCATGTTGTTTCTTTGCTTGTAAGCTTTATGCATATTTACCTCTCTAGTTTGTGAGCACACAGTGAAATACTTTGAGAATAGAAGCATTATTTACTATTATTATGTACCATTCTCATATTTTTGCCACTTTATTGTTTGGCATCATATTACCTATATCTTTGTAAAACATCCTATGTTAATTTAGATGATTCCAGAGAATCAATATGACATCAATATTATCTGGCCTGAGTTGAATATTATGTTTCTTGATTATGGAAATATTTGTTTTGTTGAAATAATGCTCAGAGATCTTAAATTGTTTGAGAGGAGAAAAAAAATTGTCCATTTCCTTGGATTCTACAGAATCCAGATTCCTTCAGTAATTGGTTATTTGACTGTGGGTGAGTTGCTTAACCTTGTATTTGAGAGAACCTGGGCTGTAGGGAAAGAATTAAGGGAATATGCTGGAGGATAAAATCTAGGGATGAGCAAAACTAATGCTTTTATTATTTTTTAAGTTCTTTTCCATCCTATTCACTCTGGAGATTTTAGTCACATTTGGTTATGAAACGGATCACAATTTTGCTTATATTTTATCTTTTTTTTCCTATAATCATTTCATATTTTTATTTTTCCATTTTGTGGGTCCTAAGGCAAAGCAACATTACCAAAATTTTTCATCTGTCAGCTGTACTGATTTTTCTGCTGGCTTATGTGGATAAGTTGGGCATGAAAGAACGGAAATTGATTTTTTCACAGATACTGTATATTGTGTGCTGTTAGTCATTTCCTGGGTCATGGCAGAGCACATTCTTTTTGACAACATTTAATATGTATATACCCCACTTTGCCATTGTAGAAAAGTCTTGAATTCTGATGCTTATGAACTATTAGTCGTATGTTTATGAAGATTTTAGAATTAAGAAAAATTAGAACATCATCTAGCACAATCTTCTCTTTATAGATGAACAAATGGGGAGTAGGGTTGTAGTTCAGTGGTAGAGCACTTGCCTAGCAAGTGGGAGGCGCTGGGTTCAATCCTCAGCACCAATATAAATAAATAAAATAAAGGTATTATGTCCATCTACAGATTAAAAAAAGAAGAAGAATAGAGAAGATGGAACATGGAAAATGCCTGGGGAGAGGCAGAGCCTCACAGGCTTAGTTGCAAGGTACATGCAAACAGAGGCACTGAAAAGAGTAACAAACTCAAGTAAGAGAGCGGAAGAAGAGGAAAGCTTAGGCTTTCATGTTTTTGAAACATCTTATATCTGAAATTCTCCCAGAGTGTGATTCAGTGCAGGGGCTCTGAGGTCAGACTCCCAAAGTTCAAATCTCAGTTACTTAGGTACGTAGGAGTAAAATTGCTTGACTTTAAAAAAAAAAATGGTCAATGGATCTTTTATTTTATTTATTTGTTTATATGCAGTGCTGAGGATTGAACTCAGGCCTCACACATGCCAGGCAAACACCCTACCATTGAGCCACAACTCCAGCCCCCAAATGATTAATGTTTACAAATGGCTGCCACAGGTTATTTGTAAGTGGGCCATAATAATATTATCTACATCATGGGATTTTGTGGGAAAAGAGAGTATACAAATAAGTACCTGGTCTAGGAAGGACTTTATAAAATTTTCTGCCAACAATAGTAATAATATTAAGCATCTTTTGAGTACTTCAAAGAGCATTCTGCCTATATAGAATTCTATCTATAAAATTGCCTATTTCAAATTCCAAAAAGCATTAGAAAGCTTTTTTTTTTTTTAAGTTTGGCACAAATTTTATTTGGTGCCAAAACTGCATCTAAATGGGTGTGAAAGTATTTATGGTTATTACTTATTCTACTTTATTTGACTATTCATGCATTTCACTGTGGAAGATATTATGTTTGACTCTTGGTTTGTCCCAGAGTGTTATATAAATACCACTGCATTCTATTCTGAAATAAAAAAAAAAATTGAAATTCTAAAACATATGTGATCCCAAAAATGTGAATCTGTATTATCTCATTCAATGATCTATATAACCTTGGATATAGATATTTTCATTCCAATCTTGCAGCTATGAAAACTGAGCTTCATCAATACAAGTAATTTGCTTAAAGTGTCACTGTTCGTAAGAGATGGGGCTGGGATTTTGGTTTAGGGTTATCTAACAATACTTTGATGAATCACACACATTTACATACTCTCTTATTTATTTATGTGTATTACATTTTGCATCTGCTTTTTAAAAAAAATTCATTGATTATATATATCAGTGAGATTCACTGTTACATATTCATACATATATGCACACAATATAATTTGATTTATTAAATTTTTTTAGCATTTTGCAAAATTCAAATATCTTTATTTTCTAAAGAGCTATAATTTATGTTTATGGGAAATAGAGACATTTTTATAACCTGATAGCTTTTTGTTACCTAGTGGTTTTGTATATAAGTAGCCCATTGAATAATAATGATCATAGGAACAGTAATTATTATTCCTATTTTAGTGTCAGATATAATTTATTGAGTATTTCTTATGTGCCAAAATTAACAAAGTACTCAGCAAACATTCTCGTTTAATACTTACATCAATTCAACAAGAAAACAGACTTATTATGAAGAGAAAACAGACTTAAAGATGTTAAAGACATCATCAACTGCACACACATAGTGAGTAACAGAACAGGGATTTGAATCCAAATAGATCCCAAGTACTGTTTTCTTGTTTCTTTCCTTAGCTCCCCCTTTGTTTTATAGTAATTTAAATAACACATGTACATGGAAAAATATCACAAATGGTAAAAAGATGGTATAATCTCCTACCCCAGAAAATAATGCAAAAAATATCAGCTTCCACAGTCCCCACGACACTCCTAACAATTATGCTAAACTACCTCTTTAATTTCTAGAATAATGACATTAATTTGAGGTTTGTTGCTTTTATTCAGGTATGCTAACAGAACAAGCAGCAGGTCCACTGGGACAGAATCTAGATGTGGAGCCATATTCACAGTACAACAATGTTCAGTTTCCCCAAGTTCAACCACAGATTTCCTCATCATCCTATTATTCCAACCTGGGTGTCTACCCCCAGCAGCCTGAAGAGTGGTATTCTCCTGGAATATATGAACTCAGACGAATGCCAGCTGAGACTCTGTACCAGGGAGAGACTGAGATGGCAGAGATGCCTGTAACAAAGAAGCCCCGAATGGGTACATCCGCAGGGAGAATTAAAGGGGATGAGCTGTGTGTTGTTTGTGGAGACAGAGCATCTGGATACCATTACAATGCACTGACCTGTGAGGGGTGCAAAGGTAAGCAGCCTGTGATTGGCAGTTTTCTCTTTGTTCAAGTTCTACTCTATTGGCTATTGAAATCTCTTGAGCTGGATGCTTCCTTTTTCTCAGATAACTTCCCATTTTTCCATCTCTGCTTCTGCCTCCTCCTATCTTCTCTATCTTTATTGGACTGCCATTGATCTTTGGGAAAAGCACATCAGAGTATTTAGCTTAGATATAAATAATCTTTCCCATATTCACAACCTCACAGATGGTTAAAAGGAATTTTGACCAAGTTTAGGGAGTTGTGGGTTTGTTTTTTTGCTGTTTATTTTTTAAGAAAAGAGAAACCGTTGAACTCATTTCTTTTAAAATTCAGATCAAGGGGAGTGAGACTTCATTCAATAAATGTTTTAGCATACATTTTAAGGGGCAATTATTATTAAATCCTGTCTCCCTTTATGTATCTTTTCTTCCCCTCTCTATATCTAGCAATCCCTACTCTATATTCAGGTCAATTTGGAGGGGATCGGGGGGGGGGGTACTGGAGATTAAAATATTTTCAGCATACTTTAGTTAACTGAGAAAGAAATTGAGGAAGAAAATGGGCAAAGAAGTAAGTAATAATAGCTTAAATTCAACAAATATTCCATTTAGATTATAGATCTGTGAACGATGCTATAGAAGAATCTATAACAATCTATTCCAAATGGATAAAATATATTAAATATAAAAATGACTAAAAGACCCTTATTATTACTCTCCCAGTAAGGGCAATGATAATAAGTTTGTAAAATTTCAAAGGAAAAGAAGAGTGAATTCCTAAGTTCATCTATTTAGTTTTGTCTTTAATCATTCAGCAAATATTTTTAGAACGTGTAGGTACTCTGCTAGCTTGCAGGATATTGAAAGCTGAATAAGAATTATCCTTTGAACAGAATCTATTGGATAATGTGCCAAACTGGGGTTTCCAGATGTTAATGATTGCTTCAAAAATAAACAGAGGATCCAGTCACATAAAAATAGAACAAGGACATTTTAAACCTTTGAAAGTTTAAATGATCAGATTACATTAAACCATAATAATTGCCCCTTAAAAACTGAGTGTGATTTTCTTAGAATTTTAAAGCACTGTTTTTAGTTTTGATTAAAATGTACTAATTGTACTTGTTAATGAAGGTCAGTGTGATATTTCAATACTTACATATGATGTATACTGATTGAATCCTGCCTCTCTTTATGTACCTTTTCTTCCCCTCTCTATCTCTAGCAATCCCTATTCTATATTCAGGTCAATTTGGGGGGATGGGGGGTACTAGAGATTGAACTCAGGGCCACTTGACCACTGAGCCACATCTCCAGCCCTATTTTGTATTTTATTTAGAGACAGGGTCTCACTGAGTTGGTTAGCACCTTGCTTTTACTGAGGCTGGCTTTGAACTTTTGATCCTCCTGCCTTAGCCTCCTGAACCACTGGGATTATAGGTGTGGCCACCACACTGGCCTTTTTTTTTTTTACTTCTACATGTGAGAAGAAACATGAAATTCTTGTCTTTTTGTGTCTAGCCTATTTCACTTAATATCATGTCCTCTATTCCCATCCATTTTACAGCAAAAGACATTATTTCATTTTTCTTCATAGCTGAATAATATTTTACTATATATATATATATATATGGATATCATTATATCTATATCTATCTATCTGTCCGTCTGTCTATCTATCTATCTATCTATCCCACATTTTAATTATCCATTCATCTGTTGATGAGCACCTAAGACGATTCCATACCTTGGCTACTGTAAATAGTGAATAGTGCTTAAATAAACATGGGTATGTAGGTATCTTTTTTTTTTCTTTCAGGAAATGGTTTATTGAATCATTCAATTTCCTTATATGCTTTTATATCCAAGAAAGATAATGAGATTTTCTCAGGTTTGAAAAACTGTTTTACAGGTATCTTTTTGATATGCTTATTTCATTTCTTTTGAACATATGACCCAACAGTGGGATAGCTGATAGATGTATTTTTAGTTTTTTGAGGAACTTCCATATTGTTCTCCATAATGGTTATACTAATTTACATCCCCACTCACAGTGTACGAGAGTTCCTTTTGTGACATATTCTTGCCAGTGATTTTTTGGTAATTGTCATTCTAACTAGGGTGAGATGATATCTATTGTAATTTCAGTTTGCATTTCCCTGATAGCTAATGATAGTGAACACTTTTTTCATATATCTTGCTATTTATATGTCTTCTTTTGAGAAGTGTTTATTCTGATCAGCTTGCCCATTTTTTAAATTGGGTTACTTGGTCATTCACCAAGACCAAGTTGATATTGAAGGATGCAAGGATGGTTCAATGTAAATCAATGAAACACATCATATCAAGAGATTGAAGCGGGAAAATCATCTGATCATCTCAATAGAGACAGAAAAAGCATTTGATGAAACCCAACATTCCTTTAAGATAAAAACATGAGGTACATCTGGAGCTTCCTTGAAAGAAGATCTTTCTTGGATGCTTCTAATGTTGACTCATATTGCTTTTATTAATTTCCTTGTGGTATTTTTTAATGTAATGAAAGATTTCTATATAACAAAAGAATGAATCCAAATTTTAAAAATTCAATATAAATAAAATTACAAAACCAATAAAATAATAAAATTTATTTGTTAGTTACATGATTTTGGTCAGGAAAGAGAAGCCCATACAGGATATATGTGCCTGATATAAAGTAAGTATGAAGTAAATGTCTTTTGAATACCATAATGAAAATTTACATTCATTGCTGGTACTTAATTAGTCCGCCAATATAATATATCTCCACTTTGTAAAAGTACATCCCAAAGGTTTTTATAACATTTAATCCTTTCTTGCTTCAAATGATAAAAAGCAAATACTACCTCTCAGTCCCTAGATCTAGTGACAATTTTTTTGAATGGGCAGAGTTATGGAAACAGAGACCTGCCTACTTATGTGACGTTGAATTAAAAAAAAAAAAAAAGGGAAGTTGGAATAAATCTGGAAGGAATTGCTAGTTAGACAGCAAGCCAAAATATTTCCTGGTTTAAAATACACAAAAATAAAAAATAAACCAAATTAAAAAAATTAAAAAAATAAAAAAACACAAATAAATGTTCTCCAGGTTGTTTTGAGAAACCAACTGCTGACTCATGTACAAGACTTTGTAGTATCTCTAGTCAACTAGCGGCCAGGGCTGTTACTCTAGAAAGCAAAACTAGAACCAAAAAATGAAGCTTATAGGATGGCACATTTGGGGCTTAATTCAAGAATTAATTTTCTGATACTAACATGAGGGAATTTCAGCAATGAGATTGGCTTCCTGCCTCTGGTGATACCAAGTAACAAGCTCCTCAATATTAGAATTCAAAAAGAGGTAGATGAAGAAGGAGCTTGAGTCCCCAACAGGAAATTTCTGCATTGCATGAGAAATTGTATTATGTGGCTTCTGAGGTCCTTCTTCAAATACTTTAGCACCATTCTTACACTATTCTAATTATTTCATGTCTGTGTGTCTTGTCTTCTGCAGTAGTTTGTAAATTTCATAAGTAGCCCCTCTTACTGAATGAAAGAGAATGACAGACAAGAGTTTCTAAACCTTGTCCCTATTGACATTTCAGGCTGCCTAACTTTGCTGTGGGGAATGTTTTGTATGTTTAGCAGATACCAGTAGCAAGCCCCACTTGATGCCAGTGACAAACCCCAAATTTTACAACAAAAAATTTTTGTTCTTGGGGAACAAAAATCTCACCAACTGTGAACCACTGAGATAGAAAGTACTATTATGCAGAGGTTCTCAAACTTCAGCTACCTCTGGAACTTTCTTTTTTCTTTGTTTTTGGTAGGGGGCCGTACTGGGGATTGAACTCATGGGTATTCGACCACTGAGCCACATCCTCAGCCCTATTTTGCATTTTATTTAGAGACAGGGTCTCACTGAGTTGCTTAGCACCTTGCTCTTGCTGAGGCTGGCTTTGAACTCTCCATCTTCCTGCCTCAGCCTCTGGAGCCACTAGGATTCAGGCATGCTCCACCATGCCCAGCTAGAGCTTTCTTGAAGGAAGCTGTTTCTTGGGTGCTTCTAATGCTGACTCCTATTGCTTCTATAAAATTCCTTGTGTTATTGTGTTTTTTCATACAATGAAAAGTTTCTATATAGCCAAAAAACAAAACCAAATTTACAAAATTAAATATCAACAAAACTAGAAAAGCCAATAAAATGTGTTAGTTATGTGGTTTTGTTGCTCAAAATGTTACTAAAGCACAGGTTCTTTTGGGTTTGTTATGCCTGCACCACATACCACATGAGGCTTCAATTCTCTACTTCATTTGTCTGTTCAAACAATTGGTTCATCCAAACCTTGTTTCATGCCGAGCTCCATTTGGCCATCCTTAAGCAGGGTCCTGTCATGCATCTTACATTTACCCCGGCCATTTTCTCATGGCTCTTGATAATCTAGTCATACTTTTTGCTGTTAATGAAATCACTGGCACAAACAAAAATGAGGGCAATTAATTTGAATGTTAATATAAGATAGTCATTGAGATGATCTGGAGAATGTTATTATTAGTTTTTAAGACTGTCATAAGATAGAAATGTAAAAGTAATTTAATATGTGTGAAGGACTTAGAAAAAAGTGCAGCACATAGTCAAAAGTCAATAAATGCCTTTTGTTGTTACTGTTATGGTCTTTGCATCTGTTTACACAGAAGGTAGTCGAAAGGTGGCTGTTTTCTGTTTGTATTTACAAAGGTTGATGCCCAACCCATTATCACTTGTTTCCTAAGGCACTATATTTGACATTGTTCAAATTACTAAAAGTCACTTTAATTTGTTTGTGTAGATTTGTGCTATTCACAGTCTGGTTCCTGGTCCAGCCATATCAGCATCATCTGGGAATTTCTAAGAGATGCTAATTTGGAGGTCCTACTCCAGGCCTACGAGAATCAGAATTTCTAGGAATGAGACCCAATGCTTTTGTTTAATAAGCCATTCATTCTAAAGTTTG